GGAATGGGAATGAGAGAAAACAGTAAAGTGTTCAAAGAATCGTAGAATCCAAGGGTTGGAAGAGACCTCAGGAGGTCATCAAAGCAGGACCAACTCCAACTAAACCATCCGAGCGAGGACTTTGTCAAGCCAGCACCTAAAAACCTCTAGGGATGGAGATTCTACCACCTCCCTAGGCAACCAGTTATAGTACTTCACCACCCACCTAGTGAAATACATTTTTCTAATATCCAACCTAGACCTCCCCCACTGTAATTTGAGACCATTGCTCCTTGTTCTGCTATCCGTCACTATTGAGAACAGCCTTTCTCCATCCTTTTTGGAACTTCCCTTCAGGAAATTAAAAGCTGCTATCAAATCCCCCCTTACTCTTCTCCTCTGCAGATTAAATTAGCCCAAAGCCCTCAGGCTCTCTTTGTAGATCATGTGCTCCAGCCCCCCCAATCATTTTGGTTGCTCTCCGCTGGACCCTTTCCAATGCGTACACATCTGTGTAACACAGTATTCCAGATGTGGCCTCCTAATGCAACCTGATATGCCATTAGCCTTCTTGACTACAAGGGCACACTGTTGACTCATATGCAGCTTCTCATCCACTGTAATCCCTAGGTCCTTTTCTGTTGAATTACTACTTAGCCAGTCGGTCCCCAGCCTGTAACAGTGCTTGGGATTCTTCCCCAAGTGCAGGGCTCTGTACATGTCCTTGTTGAACCTCATCAGATTTCTTTTGGCCCAATCCTCCAGTTTGTCTAGGTCACTCTGGACCTTATCCCTATCTTCCAACATATCTACTTCTCCCCCCTAGCTTAGTGTCATCTGCAAACTTGCTGATGGTGCAATCCACCCCCTCATCCAGGTCATTAATAAAGATGTTGAACAAAACCAGCCCTAAAACTATTCCTTGCAGCACTGTGCTTGAAACTGACTGCCAATAAGACGTGGACCCGTTGATCACTATCTGTTCGGCCCAACACTCTAGCCAGCTTTCTCTGGTGATTTCTCAAGTTTGTACACTGAGCTAAAAGGATGAACTAGACTTCAGTATACTTCCCATTAAATTATGTTTATTCTGTGAACTACAGAGTTATGCGTCAGTTGCTATTATTTCAAATGTGCATATGACTACCTAACTGGCATCGTGCAGTGATTCAGTAAGTTTCCATTGTTCACATGGAAGATGTTAACCAATTAGAGTTAAAAATGCAAATTAATGTATCTGCATTAGCTTGGCAGTGGTCCATGATAGATTTCACTCAACTCCTGGTCTGTAGTTCCCTAGATTGTCCTAATTCCCTTTTTTAAAGATGGACACTACATTTGCCTTTTTTCCAATCATCCGGGATCTCTCCCAATCTCCACAAGTTTTCAAAGATAATGGCCAAAGGCTCTGCAATGACATTTGCAAACTACCTCAGTACCCTTGGATGCATTAAATCTGGACCCATGGAATTGTGTATGTCTAGCTTTTCTAAATAGTTCTTAACCCCGTGGTCCCCAACACGGTGCCCGCGGGCGCCATGGCCCCGGGCGCGCGGCGCTTGGGAGAGAGGGGGAAGAGAACGCCAGCGCCGGCCCCGGGAATGTGGCTATGGGGGGGGCCCCGCTCGGGGGGGCCCCGCCCTCCAGGGAGCCCAGCGGGTGAACGGCCACGCCCC